TCTCCTCGCCTCCCTCCCTCCCCATCACCCATCTCTCGCGCTCGCCCGCCCTCCTTCTCGCCCACCCGCCCGCACCGCGGACAGACTCCCCGTCTGTTTATTTTTCCCTTCTGCCGTTTACCTCGCCGTCAGGAGGGTTAATGGACCCACCGGGATGTCTTCGGCGATGCAAGCGAATCGCCGCTGGCGAGGGACCGGATTTTTCCCCTGCGCGAACACCTGCCGTCCCTTACTTCCGCGATCGTGTTGAGGGAAACGTAATAAACCTGCGAATGACGGTGCGACGATTCGAGTAGCGCCCGCAGCGAAGCGCCGGTTTCGAGTACAAGCGTAATGATAAAAAACGCGCGATTGATGTAAATAATAATGTGAAATTAATTATATTATTAATGCACGATTGTGGAAGAAAATGTGATATTATTAATATAAAATGGAACACAATTTTGTAGTAGTAAATAAATATTGACATGTCATTTCATATTCAAAAAAGTAATTCGTTAGATTCCATTTTGATGTACGCAAAGTTACTGTTTGTTATTAGTTTTCTCGAAATTGGATAGCTGCCATCTCATTTTCTCTCTTTCTCTCTCTTTTTTTTTTTATTTTACCCTGATGACAAACTGCAATCAAATCCAATTTTACTACGTATACATCGATACATTTCTAGTGTTGTTTCAATATCCCATCGAGGCTAACGTACATTTATGTTAATAAAAACCCGTTAACAAAAACCCATGATATTCTATTTCGAAACCAACACGAGCAATCGCGTTTTCGATCAGCGGGAAGTATCAGCGCTCCCGGATTTTTATAACGTCATAAACCATCCTGCACAATACAGGATACGGCAAGGAAACAAAGGAAGTCAAGGGTGAAGCAGATAATAGCGCCTGCCTCTTTTTCAGACGAACTCGAAGTACTCCGTAAATTGGATTTAACCAACTGCATTGTGAATCGCATTGTGAATCACCCTGCAATCGATTTGGCCCGCGAACAACGGCGATGCCACCATTCTCTCTTCCTACTGCAGGAGCCAAGAAATCGCCAAGAATCAATATTGATTGATATTCGTAATAATTGCTAAATAATGCTTTTATGAATTTCAATTAAAAAAATATAGAGAAATATTATACTAAATGCTGTATTTCAAATTTCTGATAAATTTTATTTTTGGCGAATATACTTTTTATCCGTCCTGTGATATTATCGTTACACGAAAATAATCACAAAGATTAATAACTTTTATACCGCCGCGTTGTTGTGTACTACGTAAAAATGTTTATTTCTCAAACAGCGTGAGAGAAGGTATATGTAGTATTATCAAGTTTTTTCACAACACATCACAAAAATCGCATTATCCAGGTCCGGCCGTAAAACTGCTCTCTCGGCTATAACGTGCAGTATCGCTAATTTCCGGGAAAATGAAATACAGGGAGGGCACATAATGGATCTGATAATAATAAAAATAGAGTAAGACTGGCGCGTAGAGCGTAAAAGATGACTGCGAGGATAACGTCGACGCGAGTAATCGCGATAAAGCGAATAATACCGAATAATAATTCACAGCGTCGTTATCGCGTGTATTAAGAGTGGCCAGCTGATATTCAGCAATAATCATTATACAAATATACAATGTAACGTTAACGAACATTTTCGTTCTCGATAAACATCAGAATGTACGATGTTCGGATGTAGGTGCCGCTTTCGAAAAGGCTCGCGATCTTACGACTTTCGCATGCTCGAAAGATGTCCTTCGGGGAGCGCGCGAAGTTTGACGGAAACTCAATCTTCTTGAAGCGACATGGGGTTCCACGTGGCACCAGACTTCACGATCTCAACGATCAAGTATTCATTTCCAATTATGTTCTCGAAACAAGGTGTTATACCAAGCATACAGCGGGACGTAAGGTACAATACATTTGCATACGCGATGCGCAAACGTGTACGCTATACAATCGATGCGTTCCGAACTCGATCGGTGAATTAAAACTTGCTGGTACACATGATTAATATCGATTGAATTATTATCATTGCATTTTGCAGTCGGTCAGTTGTATCGATTGTAGCCAGTCCGGCGATTCATCGCCGATTTATCGCCGATTTATTAGTGAAACACGGCAAATCGCTATTGTCGAGGACAATGGAAATTTGGAATTATATCAAAGCAATATTCACATTTTCGCAAATTCGCAATTTACGCTGAATTTTGTACAAATATGCTAATTTGCGCCCATCATTTACCGTACATATTATTATTCTCAAACAATTAAGTTTTTTATTCCACAATAAAATATGGTTTTCATAGTTAATGATTATATATTTGTCATCTATCGTCGAATAAAATTATTTTTTAATGTTCAATGTCCAGCGCCTTAGATAATAATAATATTTAAGATTTTTTTCTATTTAAGACTAATAATATTTAATTAATTTCCAAATCAATTGAATAGACGCAACTCGATTTGACAGACTACAAATGTCAATAGCAATCGTGATGGACATTTCACTTTGTGCAATTAATCGAGTTGCCGGAATCATCAAGGGAAATAGCGAAGATTCGCCGAATTGATCGGTATAAATTGGTACACCTGCCTAATCAGAACCGAGTATTTTGACATTTATACGATTAACAAATATATTTCGCGAGCGATACCGCCGAAATCGCTATCCGTTTGTTGATAAGGGATATAAACCGTTTATATCGCAAAACGCGAAAAAATTCGACAGAGACAATTGCATTGTCGCTATTTTCGGAAAATATTTTTGCTGTACACGTACGTTCAGACAGATCGACAGCAATTTGGAAGCGAGCAAAAATAATTGCGTCGCTGCAAAATTCATGCGCCGGCGTTACATGTGGGCGGATAAAACAACTCACGGAAACGTCCGCCGCGCGCACGCATCCCCCTCGCATATTAAATTCCTCCATCTGCAAAACCCGCGTATCGTTAACAACGCTGGCTCTTTGTCCGAATTAACGAACGCTTATCTGCATTGCGCTCGGAAAAATACGCCCACACGAACCGTGGTTCTTTCAATTAGCGCGAATAAGCTTATCGTCTGATTTTCAATGCACGCGCATGGAAAAAAAAACAGCTCTGAATAATCGGAATTAGTGCATGTAAATGCGATTTGATAGCGATTTTAATGTCGAGCAAGTAAACCCAGTAAACCTAGTAAACCCTCAAACTACATTAAAAAAATTTTTTTTTAAATTGTTTTTATTTCAAAAAACAGTTAATTTGTTTGTTAGAAACAGTTTCGAGCAATAACGAGCAAACGTTGTTCAATGTTGCAAAAAACGCATGATTTAAAAAATATAATAAATGCAATAATTTGCAACTAATCGAGATACGCTTGAAACAAAATCACTTATTAATCAATATAAAAACAGAATTGAAAAGAAATCGAACCGCTAAGCGTCGAATAAATCTCAATGTAATATTTTAAGGAAGCCACCCACGTATCTTCATAAATTCCAACCGACTGGATAAAGGGCGAAGAATCGCGGATTGGCGGGAGGAATCGCGGCGGATAAATCACTGGATATCGACGAGTTTCTTGACCGATAGCAGCACGTCGGACTGTTTTTATCGAGTCAATGGTTGGTGGCGGAGTCGCGGGGTTTATGCGAGGCACGCTTAGCCACGTACGAAGTACAATGCGGGAGAGAAAAGTCGACGAACGGTAGTCGATCCGAAGAAACATGAGAACGCGGGAGAGAGCGCAAGTTAAGGGAATGCACAAAGGCCGCCTCTGTCGAGAGGGAATAGAGGCGTTCTCTGTATTCTCAGACATCGCCGAACGCAAGTATTATGCATCGCGCGCACGACAGACCGACAGACCATCGAGCAGGGCCGTACGGCCCTTTCCGGACAGTTTTCTCTCACGTAAACCGTACATATCCGTCCGACTCTTCGGCGGTGAGTGCATGAACCAGCCCTGAATGATATCTCAGATCTCCGCCAGAGAGAAAGATTTACGAGTAGCTCTTCGCGTCCGCGTCCGAAGCACCGCGCGAGCACGCGCTTTTGGCGCAATCACTTGCCCGGAAAAGTAGATCTTTCGTCGGGATTTGCGTTCGCGTAGAACGCCGTTATTAAAGATGAGCGAGGTTGCTGCCGTATTAAGGACGGACTCGTGGATGCGCCGCTACGTCAACGTCGGACCGTCGTGGCAGAGCTCACGTGAATGTTAAATTCAGGATAAACCCACCCCGCCCGGCCCCTCGGCCGCTTCGTGACCCTTGCAGAGATTCGTGTTGATCTTATCCGTCGCTTCTCGTTTGCAACGATTGTTATCGCGTAACGTATTATGTCAAGATTTTCTGAGTCGGATATACTAAGAGCGATATACCACGATTTACTGAACAATTATTTTTGATATTTGATAATAATAATTTAAAAGATAAAACTAGGAATAAAAATATTTCAGTTGAAATCGTTTTTACAGCTTGTGATGTGAAATTAAGTGCAAGAAGTTATTAAAATTTCATTGCATTTTACGTTTAATCAAAAACTAATAATTTTATATATAATTTTTGACTTAATTTCAGATAAATAATAAATAAGCAATTACTCAACTTATTTTTCACATGCACTGAGATCAAACAGAATTATCTTTGATCACATGCAATTTTGTTATTTCAAGTAAGAAAACAATAATAAAAATCGATGGAAAAAGCACGATAAAAAGTCTTATCTCTCGCAAGAAATATGCTAACATCATGCATACAACATACCTTGGATGCAAAATGGCATATTCAAGAAGCAATCGCTTGGACTCTAGAGCGTATAAACACGCCACTTAAATAACGCTCATTGCGGCAATATAAGCATACAGAATCGTGTGAACATATACACATCGTCCTAATATACCTCGCGTGTATATTCTTTCGGCCGTAAAGGACACACGATGTGAATTTAGTTACTAGCAATTATTTCGCGCTCTTATAGCGCCGCATCAAAATTCACACATGATATAACAGAAAATTCACTCACCAGCCCGATGTCCCGCCGCTACAATCCGTTGGCTCTGCCGTTGTTTCAAACAAACCTGCAACAAAAACGTCAATTAGTACGATTTATTCATGCGACATACTCGAATTTCGCAAGCGCAATTTCAAGCGCGTACTTTTAATATATCGATTCGACAAACAATTTCGATCATTGCAACCATGAAACAATTCTACTCAGCGATATAGACGAGCGAAAAATGTCAAATACCTAATTATCTTAACTTACCCTTATCAACCTTGACCGACAATGCACTCGATTTTCCCGACATGCGATTACTTGCGCGATACATTCTCGAACGAATAAGTAACGCGAAACAGAAAGATTATCCATAGTAATTGCGACTGTACACGCAAAGTAATGATGACCGCCTGTTGTTCGCGCATATATACGATGTCTGAAAAACGTTTGTTACAACTGCGAAGCCGTTGTATCAAAAGAAACTGTCGTGTCTCACGCCAAATCAAGCGAGTATATGCTATGCTATCCTAACCTATAATTAGACGCGTCGCCCGGTAGCGATTGCTTCGCGTTTTTATTCCGCTGTATCGAAAGAATTAATCTTGTTTTTGTAATTAAGCGACAATCTCACGAATCACTCACCGGTGATAAATAGTTGTGCTTGTCAAAAGTGGTCTCAGCTCCAGATAAAACTTGCCTTTCAACCACGACTATCGATCACGCGTCGACTACATCCCGCGCGATCCCGAGTGATCTCGACGTAGGGTGAAGCAAGTCGAAGTTAATCGACAATGCGATGACAATACACGTTCTATATAAGTCGGCGACTTACTACTGCTCGACTGACCAGCTGATCGTAGAATCTTTCATAGTTGCGCAACACCTCACGCACCTCACTAATGCACACGCGTGTTCGCCGAATTTTCAAAACGTTATAACTCGTCGAAAAAATGACGCAGCGACATGCAGCAAAGTAGAATCTTCTCAGCTTCGCGTTCTACAAATATCTATATTCAATACGTATGCTCTTATCATGACACATATGTGTATATGCAATTGGAACAAATATTCAGTAAAATTTGTTACGCAAAATATAAATCAATTATTTTAATCTTTTTTTTTTTCATTTCAATTTACATAGAATAATTTAATGGTGCGAAATTATTACAATTCCATTACCTTTTTAATTACATAAAAGGTGCTTAATTAAAACTTGATAATCTTGTATAAGCTGAAATCATAGATAATAAGCAAGTAATTACAACTTTTACTCTGCATATTTCTCTCATATGAAATGGGATCAGATAGAATTATCTATGATCACGCGTAATTGTTTTGCTAGTGCAAGTAAGAAAACAATTATAAAAATCGATGAAAGCTGCGCGGTGAAAATTTCCACGTGAGTTTACATCTCATTAAGAATACGCTAACATTATAACTCAAGCAAATGTTTGGTATAAACGTTTTTGCAGAGCGACGTGAAACTTGAAAAATTGCCAGCAGCGTCACGGAGCGAAGAAATGAACGAGTTGCGCAACATATAGCTGAAAATTGGCGACCTATTTTATCGATATGTTCCGAGCAGGAAATTGAACCAATTCATGAGAGTTCGACTAATCTCACCCCGGAGAGTTACGTGAGGAAGAACCCAAAGGGTCTATTTTCTCTTGCCTGTACACGCGCGCAAACCGGTTAACACGAGCGGGAAAGAAGGTACTTTGTTTTAAGGATCTATTACACGGTCTAGCTTACAAGCCATTACACGTCTTACGCGGCCGTCCTGTGAAGTAGACGATGCTTATTCACGGCTGCCCTGCATAGTTAAACTAAAAAACGAAGCAAAACGCGGTCGAAAGAGAAGCACTTGCGTAAAATAAAATTTATTATTTATTTCCAGTTTGTTCAGTTATTATTCACTTTCAGTTCGAACAGAAAGAAGAATAAATTTTTTATTGGGAGAGAGAGAGAGAGAGAGAGAGAGAGAGAGAGAAATAACATTTTTCATTTAAATTTCTTTGTAAAAACATGTTTTTATATTTTACAAAATACATTTCTACTTTGCTAAATTCATATTTTGCTAAATTATGATGAGCTAATCACGGGACGCATTTTAAACAAAATGATGAAGCATTATTATTTACAAGTGACATATAAAAAGTTTAATTTTTCTAGACAAGTGCATTATAATGTCAGACAGTTACGTAACATCGCAATCAAAGTTTTATAGCAGCAAAAAAATAAATCGTTTGCCGTCTCCCGTTTCTAACAGCGGATGCCTGTTTCCGGATCATTCCTCATACTTTGCCAGATAAACGCAACGTACATTATATTATAACGATTCAATATCAAGAGAAACCTCATTAACTCACGGAGTCTACATTCTGACAGCTAATTACCATCGGTGCAGCTGCAGTTCGATTATCGCCGTCAGCGTGAGACGGCGTCGTTTTATCGAACCTGCGAGAGAATTCCTCTCGTCGGCCAGCGAGCATCGGTCGCAGTACGCGAGCAATAAATTTCCGAGCAAGGAATCTTTTGTTCGATCCACTCTGCGATGCCGAGTCGGAAGATTTTTCTACGTCTGCACTCTCTCTCTCTCCCTCTTTTCCTACTAATGGGGACCCATAATCATTAAAATGCACTTTCATTGGTCGGTGACGCGACGACAGCCGAGGAAACGTCAGCGATAAAGCCGGACCATATAGCAGCGTGCAAGAAGAACTCGTCGAAATGTCTGACGACATGTCTACGGGCGATTCAATTCGACCAAGTCGACACCGGATTTACGTCACTCGGCACGGAATAAGAAGCGGGCGTGGACATAAAAATCGCGCGGAGCTGCTCGTAGTGTTAATCGCGCATAAAAGAAACTCGTAAAGAGTTCGCATAAAAAGATATACGCGACACCGAATAATTGAGATACCAATGTCGTCTTAAAATATTGTCGCGTAATTTCGTTTGCCTTCTAATGAGATTATATAAAACTTTGATTACGATTATCAGCACGTTTCTCGACCGCCATAAATAATTGCGCTAAAGATTGCCATCTTTTATTAATAAAAGTAATCCCTTAATTTTATTAGCAACTCGCTTTCGGCTTTTTTGTTAATATTATAGCAATATTAATAAAACTACTGACCTTTTTATATCTATTTTCAAATTAATTTTTTACGATTATATGTCGAGACAGATTCGACATAGCGCTTTACAGCAATGCCCCAAAGTTTTTCGAACAATTGAAGCAGTGTGTGATAGCAATCAGTATAAATTATATTTTTTTAATTCTTATAAAATTTCTCAGGTAACAAGAATTGATTGTTACATTTCGTTAACAACAAAATATTGATTTATTCGTCGAGATTAGAGTCGCAAAGAATTAAACAGTTAAATCTATGTTCGCATTAACGCATTAACGCATATTCACGTGCTGCCTTCGTTTATTGCTGCGCTAACTTTCTAACCAGCGGAAAATTAAGGCAAATGATAAGCCGATTACGGTGGAACTGCTAAAACCGATTTCACCGTAATAACGTAAGTGCCGCGAGGACATGCGCCCAGCCCTTATCACTCGCATCGGTGCGGCGCGCGCTCGATTGCGGCAGCCCTTTCCGGATCGCCGGAGAAATTTAATTTCCAAGTTCGTCGGCCCTGCTCGCGCCACGTGTCAATTATTACGACGAAAATCTCATTATCTTACACACCATTAATATCTGCGATAGCGAGCGAGAAGAGACGGCGCGCGCGCTCGTCCCCCTTTTTAATGGAAATGAATCTCGCCCGAGGGACGCGCCAAAGAATCGCCGGTTCGACGAACGATAGCGCGAGCTAATGCATTCGTGTCGTGTTACGACATGAATATATCAAACAGTGTCATCTGAAAACTGTACGAACCAACTAAAAAGTTTCCACACAATCATAATTAAAAAATAAATATTTATTTTGAAAATTTCAGTAACCTTTTCAAATCAAATTAATTTTTTAAATCAAATTTCAATAAGCAATTCTTCCATAATATTTTCCATAATCAATACTTTTCAACGCGCTTCTTTCAACGGTTCGAAAGCTTTACCATCTCTCAAAAGAAAAAAATCTTTTGGTTGGAAAATACACAATTATGTTCAGCTTTAAGTTTATCGATAAGGAAAAAATCTTACTCGTCATCTTAAGGAAGCATTCAAGACGTCTAGATTTTACACAATCCCAGGCATGACGCCATCCAGAATATTGAAAAATCTGAGAACATTTCGATTGTGTGGAAAATGTGATAAGAGATTTTTCTAATAATGAGCTGGAGATGAATAACTGGGTAATTTTCTAACAATTTCTAGGAAAATTATTTTTCTTTCTCAGAAAATGGAGAAACTATTCAGTAAAATTCAAATTGTATGTAAATGTGCAAACGAAAATCTATCGATTAGGTTGATTGAAAACCATTTTTGTAAAAAATGAGGCACTAATGTGAAATTCGCCCCCCAAATTCTTTTTTTAATAACTTTTTTACTAGAGGTGTGCAAACGAAAATAAAAGAAGTGCAATTATGTGCAAACAATGTGCAATCGAATCATGTAAAATAACTTAATTGTTTCTAATATTGGGGGGCTAACTTCACGCGTATTACTAAATTGCTGAAAAGAGTATTTTAAAAAATGATGATTGTGCAGAAAAATGGGCTACTGTTGGAATTTTTATTATAAATATTTATCTCGCAGTAATGACTTTGCGGATACTTTATAACTCACCTACACACATACATCTAAAGATGCTATCAAAATGTTAATATGCGTATCCAAGTGATAAATCGTTCAACTAACCGGGCACTATACATCGATAGCTCCTCCGATTTACATCGAATCTACAATAAATAAAAAAGAAGTGACTTTTCCGCCCGACCACGGACAATATCGATTTTTCGACGCAGCGTACGGCGTACGGCGAAGTGCACTCAGACATACGGATCCATCTATGTATCTGTCGTAAGTTCCGTGATGTAGGAGCGTCCAAGAATTACGGTACGCGAACTATCGACAAGAAAAGCCGAGTCGAGTTCACCCCCCTAACTGCTTTCAAAAGGATCCTCGC